ATAAATTGTTCATGATCATGTATTCAACTGCAGTAACTTATGACGCTTTGTTATGGACAGCTTGCTTCCTTCTTTGTGATACTCTTGTACCTTCAATTTTTGTCTACCTCACCGGGCTGCTTGTAACCGCCAAAATGTGTTTCATGGGTCAGTTCCCACTGGACATTCTGCAAGTATGTCTGTCCAGCGTCCATCTCCACGGAGTCCAAATTGTCCTATTTTAACCTATTGTTTATTTTCCAAGCTGGTTTCTCAGGATTCATCATCTCGCCCTCTCTTTCTAGACTCTCCAGTTGATTAAAAGAAATGTTCGTAGCACTAAACTAAAAACGTTCATATTCAAATCAGTTTTTCTGCCTCTTTCCTCATTGTCTAACTTTTGAATGCCGACTGCTCTCTATCCTCTACTTGGTTTGGATCAAATAGTGGAGTATGAAATATATGCGTTTGTTACCATTAAAACACTAAAGACACTTACGTACAATCTATTTTTCTCATTCCCTCCCTCTCTCTCTCTCTCTCTTTTTCTTTTTCTTACACCCACACACACACACACGCACGCACACACGCACACAAACGCGCGCATACACACACACACGCGCGCACACACGCGCACACACACACACACACACACATGGATGTAATTGTACATGCGTCTGTATGTGCTTGCGTGTGCGTTGTTGTTTATCGTTCCCTCACGCATAATCTTTCCATAATTTCTTTCCAACAAATTTATGTAGCGAAAACACACACGCGCACGCACACAAAAGCACACACACGCGCGCGCACACACACACATACACACGTGCACATAAACACACAAACTTAACTGCAATTAAACATTAACAAATATTAGTAGCACAGTTAAACACTTATTAAACTAACTCAACACTAATTAAACGCCAAATACTACTATTATTTTTTGTTATTATTAATAATAATATTATTCAATTAATATTCCTTGGTGTGATTCCCTGTTTAAACGGTTTAATTTGATCGGCAAGCACTGTGCAGAACAGCAAAGTGTCGCAGTCAGTCGGAACTTTTTAAAGGGCCACAGTCGAATTTTCATCCCACGCCGAAAAATGTTATTTATTTTTAACAAAATTTTATTTTTTTTCTGAAATTTTTTTTAAGATTGTGTTTTTGAGGAAAAATTTATGTAGCAATGAGCAATCATCTTTAATACTGAAAAGAACGCTAATTATGTGGATAAAATCACATAATTTTTTTTCTCAGTATTTTGTACAACATGAAAATGTTGTTGTTGAGAGTCGGAAATTTTTACCCGGAGTGCGAGTGGGATTTATGTGAGGAGCCGGAGTGGAAGTGGGACACCGGTGCATACATATATTACATGTATTACACATATTAATACATAGTGGAAGAAACAAAACGTGACTTGATTTGTTGCTTTTTAACTCTTCTTACTTGACACGCTCAACCGGCCGAGAGTTAGTTTTCCTTAAACAGTATATAATAAAATATAATTATTTAGAATATTTATAATATTACTACACTTAAATTGACATTATATTTTATTGTGTGTTTTTAAGCAAACCTCATCATCATTATTATTATTATTTAATATTTTTATTATTATTAAAACATTAGCACCCTCTCTCTGTACTCATTCGCATTGGATGGCCAGATAATGTTTGATAAGGAAGGCATGGCCAGCGAGATGAGCGCCAGTTTTTAGGAATTTAATCCTAGTTCATTTCTCTTTTGAATATAAAGCGGTGTTCACGTTATTATTATTATTATTATGAAATTTCCCCGCTAGGTTTTTTTTAAATATTTTAAACTATCATTAATTAATTTTATTTGGTCTGACCCTTTTCATAGAAGTTTAATTAATTCCGTAGTGTCGTCATCTTACGCAATTTACTGCGATAGGAACACGATTTGAACATAATTTAATGCTGACTCTTTCTCTGTGTGCCCATTCAAAATGTATGGCGAGCATTGTAGATTATCTATATACTTAACATTATAAGTTTTATTACTTTAACTTCATAATTACAATGTACGTTTTAAAATGGAAATAAAAGGATGTTTTCATTATTATTATTATTATTATTATTAATTATTATTATTATTATTATTATTATCATTATATAAATGTTTCTTCAGCAATTCTCAGAAACGTCAGCATCAAAGAAGCAGTGCATATATAACATACAGCAAATCAGACACACACATTGCGTGTGATGGGCGGGGATCTCTGTGCAGTCGAATCCTGTAACCGCAACAACAGTGCCAGGCACGTTACCGCTACACCATCGCTGCGTCCAAATATATCATTCTGACAAATTAAATTTTGTGAATAAATGTTATATTATGTTAATTTTGTAATTGAGTTGAAGTGCAGATGTGGTGGTGGTGGTGGTTGTGGTGGTGGTTGTGGTGGTGGTTGTGGTGGTGGTTGTGGTTGTGGTTGTGGTGGTGGTTGTAGTGACCAAATTTGATGAAATTACAATCATTTTATTTATTGGCTTCGTTTTATGGACGACGGCGATGATGGTGATGTTTACGTTGCTGATGATGATGATAATGATGTTGATGTTGCTGATGATGTTGCTGATGATGATGACGATGATGAAGATGATAATGATAAGGACGATGATGATTATGATTACTTTGACGATAGTCGTTATTTTCTCTTTGATATTCTGAGATTGCTGTGTTGTTGATGATGATTATAATGTTTTAATGTGGTGGATGATGATGATGATTATGCTGCTGGTACTGATGAAGAAGATGGTTAAGATGATACTATTATGATGATGCTGATGATGATGGCACTGATGATGATGATGGCGCTGATGATGATGATGATAATGATGATGACAACGACAATGATGATGATGGTGTTATCAAAACCGGTGTTTGCAATGTTGTTAATGGGGGCCAATAATAATGATATTTTGATGTTATGTTGTTGTAGTTGTTGTTAATGTTGTTTTTGTTAATGTTGTTGTTAGTATTTGGGGTATTTAATGTTGTTTTGTTAATGTTGTTGTTAGTATTTGTGGTATTTAATGTTGTTTTGTTAAAGTTGTTGTTAGTATTTGTGGTATTTAATGTTGTTTTTGTTAATGTAGTTTATGTTGTTACTTGTGTTATTTGTGTTGTAGTTTGTGTTGCTGTTTGCGTTGTTACATGTGTTATAGTTTGTGTTGTTGTTGAGCTTGTACATTGTTGTTTGCGTTTATGTTGTTTGTGTGTCGTTGATGCGGTTGTTGTTTATGTTGTTGTTTACAAAGAACTAAAAAAAATGAGATCGATATTTTTATTCTTTGGTACATACAGCAGTTACGACGATAATAGAGAGATGCGGTGTTGGGCTGTTTTATCGTCCTCCCCCCTCAGACGCACTCTTAACTGACTGGCGGGCATTTTTTTTTGTCTATATAAGTTCACAAATTACAATGAATATGTTCTGATTAATTGTAATTTTGTTATTATTATTAGTTATTATTGGTTATTAATATTATTATTATTGTTGTGGTTGTTGTTGTTTTTGTGGTTGTTGTTGTGGTTGTTATTGTTGTTGATGTTGTTGTTGTTGCTGCTGTTGTTATCACTATGAAATGATTATAAATGTGTTGGTGTGGATGGTGAATTTAATGATGACGAATATGATGATGATGATGACGACGATTATGATATAGATGACAGTGATACTTGCGACGACGATGATGATGATATTAATGAGGTTGTTGATGATGATGATGATAATGATATTAATGAGTTTGATGGTGATGATGATGATGATGACGACG